ACTTACAAAAGCTACTTACATAATAGTATAAAATAAAGAACGAACAAGGTAGACAATAGTTTGAAATTATATGGTAAGTTAAGGAGACAATATGAGATTAATTTAGGGAGATTAAAGAGGAATATATAATGTTAAATACATATAGTAATTTTTGTTGTAGAAATAAAGCGAAACAGTTATAGGTACTGAGTGGACAATAAGTGTTCTTTCAATTTTTTCTTAAAGGAAGACGGATTTTGACATTTAAGATGTACTGGTAGTTCACCAACTACCAGTTGTTCTAATATCCTCCTGTTGTAATAATTTTAATATAATATAATATAATATCCTCCTGTTGTAATAATAATTATGTAATATCCTCCTGTTTTTCTCAAGTTTCATTTGCATTCATAATATAATCATATGATTAAACAGAATATAACATCATAATCTTTTCACTCGTGTCTATCAATTTTCAAGAATAGCTAGTCCGACTTCACGCCCCAGGGGCGTCTAGTTCCACCAATCCTGGCGGCGCGTAATATACCAAATATATTATTTCGAAATAACTATACCACTGCAAGAGGACGAAGAGGGGCATGCGTGGTTTGGAACCCCATTTTGGGGAAAGAAAGGCGTCGTTACCTTCAGTTATTTCGAGATATCATTCGGCGCGTTTTCGGAGAGCGATGACTTCGTTTCGTACCTAGGAATCTTAAAAATTAAAAAAAGAAATTGAAAGAGCTCTCATCACATTATTGAGATAAAAAATATAATTGACAGAAAAAAATAGATATACTTCAAAATGAAAGACTGGATTCACCCAGCAGCTGGTCCTTGGGCGGTTAGGTTTGGATATGGCGTCCTCTTATTAGGTTTACTAGGTAAGTTTTCTTTAACCGATTTACACTCTGTGAAGATACTAAACGTGACAACTTCCGAATCGAGGTCTTTTCGAAAGGGCTAGGCAAAATGACTGAGAATTCATAGCTGATACAGATTTTATGTCTTAAATAAACGCAAGGTTTTAGCCCTGAACAGCTACCATTTAAATATTGTTATTTTACGCTTTACCTTCCTAAAGCGCGTGATTATAGCGCGTTTTAGGAAAATGCGAAAACAAAGTGGAACCCCATTTTGAAAAATCCTGGATCCGCCACTGTACTTGACTAACGGACAGTTCATTACTACCCTTGAGGAACGCCAAAATCTCCTCGAAATATTAAGAGGCTGTCTCAGTAAAAACCACCCACTGTTTTTTTTTTTTGAAAATTTATTTTTTCTCTAACTCTGGCTATTGAAAGACCTCACTGGGTTAGTGTCTGAAATGAAATTAGTTTGGTTCAAAAATCTATTTTGGCCTCGCCAGGAGCCGATAAAAATCTTAGCCTGCTTACGTCAGCAACAAGCTGTTTCCGATCAAAGATTTAGCATACATTCATAGCATTGTATATAATGTATCCCGCATGTTTTAGAAACATTTTTTATACCAAATTGTAGATAAATCTTTCTACTTTAACTAGGTGATAATCATTATTTCATCAAAGTAGCCGTTAGCAAGAAATTCGGCATACTGTGGGCCCTACTTAACACACATTCAGCGAGCGCTGAAAATTAAGCAAAATTACGAGCTTGAATTGCAAAAGTGGCACCTAACTACAAACTTTTAACTACATAATCAAAGAGTTCTATCCTTCCACGATACCAAAAGCGAATAACCTGTGTACGTTTTCAGTTTTTGCAAAGTTATGACCGTTTTTGTTTGTGTACTTCGGAGGAATTCTCGAATTGAAGTAGCNACAAGGCTGACTGACCATTGTTAATGGCAACGCGGAGTCGCATGTATAGAATATGTGAAATTGAAGGATTAGAATGGCACAGGTGATAGTTTGTAATCAGCATCTACATTATCACAAGCAGATAACATGTGTACTTTTGACATTAGCAATGAACTTTCTTCATCAGTCAAATGACAACCGGGTAAAAAAAAAATTTCTCGTTCTATCTAATCATTTCTCCATCCAATGGCAGAAGTAGGAAAAATATATATAGCTATTTCAAAAAAGGTTGTCGGGTAAAATGGCGATTGCCAATGGTCGAACGGCGATTGCACGACCGATAGTAACCATGGGTTTTGCTAGTTGAAAGGCAATAACAACTGATTTGTAATGTAAGGTTGTCTGTGGTAAACATTGGCTCCATTTTGTCACCATTTCTATGTAAGGTGAATCCAATAAGTGAAATTCTGTATATCAAAACAGTGTAATCATAGTCCCTTTCGGTCGTGCAATCTCCCTTCGACAATCGCCGTTCACCGTTCTCCCCGACAACGTTTTTTGAAATAGTTGTATATAAAATGGCTTATCGTATTAAAAAAGGTTAAACATGACCTCTGGGGTTAACTTATGGTCATTTTTAACAGTTCGTCCATAAAGAGTAACAACAGATGGCATCACATCCATACAAGTATCAATGCACTCACCCATCCCCCCTGAGTATTTTTATTGACAGCATTACGTCATAACAGAAACCTATAAGGGACATGAAAAGTGTAGCTCCGTGACATCCGTTGCAGGAATATTCAAATCTAATTTGTATCTCATTTCCTTATTTGGAACAATTCAATTTACCCTAGCCAAYCASAAYGGRCCTTRTATCTCTTATCCARCGGCGGAATTTTCCAAATATGGTCATAACGTTCGTTTTCGAATTTTTAATGAGCTTTGAATATTCCGACGCTTGGTACTAAAGAAATGCCGGTACGGGCGCTACACGTCTGAAGTTCCTTATAGGTTTCTGGTCATAAAGGCCGGTTCACACTAAATGACATAAGCAGACAACCGAAGCAGAATCTTGTTCACACTTGACAGAAGCATGTTCTTCTGCTTATGATGTCCAGGTTTACACTCATAATCTTTCAAAAAATACATATAAAATACACTTCTTCTTCTTCTTCTTCTTATGTCACATTGTGAACGGGCCTAAGTCTCCCGACATACTCCTCCCTATGAACATACATTTCACCATAGTTGTGCTCGAAGAATACTTTGAAATTTTTCTCAATGTCTTTTAAAAGATGACACGTTGAATGAACAATAATTGATCATCACTGTACTCATTTTATGCATCATCTAGTTCAGCGCGTATGAAAATACATATTCTGTTTTGCAGACGCTACCGGAACGTTTAGCAACGCGCCATGCAGTCCACATCCGGACTTGGTCTTTCTTGGTCACCAATACTATCCCAGCACCGTGAAAATAGACCGTTGCGGAGGTGCTTGTTATCGTTATCCATCCACTAACTATAGGTGTGTGCCACTGGATGCTGAAGACGTAGTGGTATACATATTCGATTTTTCAGGTAGCCGTCTCAAAAGTAAGACACTTCTAAAACATACCAAATGTGGTTGTGATTGCGTGATTACGGCAAATGACTGTACAAAAACACAAGCTTATCACAATCGTTCTTGTGCGTGTATCTGTAAATATGTTAGCCCGCCTGAGCCTTGTCCTACTGGATTGCGTTGGAATTCACGTGATTGTGCATGTATGTGTCAAAGGCCCCCAGAAGTGTGCACCGTCGGAAAGGTATAGTAAAAAAGAAATCAGGAAATGAATAGTGCCGCATCTAGATACTATAAAGCCTTGTAGGAAGCTTAAGCCCCAAACGCCTTCCCTACTTCACAACTAATTTTGAGACCTTTATGAGACGTCTTTTTATCAAAACATTGAATCAAATAAAAATCCAACTATTTTTGTCCAAACTTGAAGCTATCAAAGAGATATCGCATTCAAAATAGGTGGGCCGCCGCTGATAAGATATTTCTAGCTTTTTTTAGTTTTCATCCGATCATCCGATACAACTCCGCTACATCCGTCATCGAATCAAATATTCAGCAAATTCAATCGATCATTCTTTACAGACTTGGGATTCAAGACAATGCAGATGTTCTTGTAACCGCGATACGGTATCTCGGTGTAACTTGCTGGGCCTCAACATAACCGACAAATGCCAATGTAGTGAAGGACCAAAAAGTAGTGAAAAAGGTAAAGGCACGGGTTTACTTAGGGGTGGAGGGGAGGGGTTGAGGAGAGCGGGAGGGGAAAAAAAAGCTTTCCCCTTTTGTTTACCCTCCGTTTTCTTCCAGAGCCTCCTTACAATTTCGCCCAATTGACCCAATTCCCATACTGCATGTCTTTTCATTTTCGTCTAATCCAGTATATCTTTCATCTGCGGCAACCTCCTTTCCAGTTCCTTAGTCGTCTATTCTTGTCAATACAATCTTGTAAGCCATATATACTACTTTTGATTATAATCATTCACATTAAACTGTTTTCCTTTCCCCTGAAACAGGCTTTCAGTATTTGACTTGGCTCGTAATCGTTCAATCGCTATAGGTTGACCTTTTCTTTTCCTTTTTACATCTGAAAACGTTAGTTTCTTAATGTATCTTATATTTGATGAACGTACTATGTGCGAGAACCATTTTAGTTGTTGATTATGGACAAATTCCTCCAATGGTGTTGCCGTACTGTATTGTATAATTTGCTGGTTATTTAGGGTAAAAGACATATCTGTATCTTGTGAGGTAGTTGTGGAATCACTAGCTTGGGGTACCTTTCTCTTGTGTCCTCCTCTTACTAAATTACGTAGATAGTAGTTGTATGTAGCAGTAAAAGTGTTCAGAGAAGCTTCTGGTAACGACCAAGTCTGGCATGAATACGTAAGCTTACTTCTAAACATAGAGTCGAATATCTTTCTTCTTGTTACAAGCGAGACAGCGTGATTTTTGTAGAATAGTTCATCTTTAAAATAGGTGTTAAAGGCCGAGAACCTTCTTGTCGTTATCTCGCAGTTTGGGGTATATGCCTCATTGTATGTGAAATTCTGTCCAAGGATAAGTAAAAGTCTCGATGTTTTTGAGATGCTCATTGTTAATTGTACAAATCATTTCAGGATATGTTGTCTCATCATACTTATCAGACATAATCATGGTTCTGGTTTTGTCCAGCGACATCTGCAGGCCAAATCTTGTTAATATATTGTAGAGATTTTCCATGGCAGTTTGGAGTTTTACAGCTGAGTTAGTTATTATAGCCAAGTCATCTGCATATCCAAGCCATAATAGAGATAGTACTCCAGAGCCCTTCTCTTCTGAACGTTGTGAACGATCACTTGCTTCGTTGGGTATTCTGTAAGGAATTGTGATATGTAGGTTTTCGTGTTGACATTCGTACTCAAAGATTCGTAATATATAGTCAAGATATATGGAAACCAGTAGGGTTTGTGTTTGGTTTCAAAATGTTACTTTTGAATCATTGAGTTTGCAAACGGGTTGCGTCATTGAACTGTTCCTATTGGTTCCAAAAGTTTTTCTAGGTTTGACATGAATTCAGCATTTTGACCTTTTTCAGCCCCTGCTACGATAACGGAACCTTTAAGAAACAAACAAAAAGTCAGCCTCGGATATCCTCTTGAAATCACATGCATTGCAAGTGGTAATCCTGTTCCTACTGTTGTCTGGACAAG